TTTTATTTTCTTTGTATCTTATACCGGTAACTCACGCACGTCGTCACAACTAAAGAAAGCAGTCGTTATTTGAGTTTTAAACAATTCACTTCGATGTTCTAGATGGACCTGCCTTCTCCACTGGTCCTCTCGTGGTCCGAGCCTTTCGCTGGTGTTTATACAGCAGGACACACTCTGTTATGTTGCCTATAACTTCCTTGACATCCTGTCTATGGCACTTTTCACTGATTCTTTCGACTGGGCCTTTTTGGTTTCGTTTTATTTTTATTTTTTTTTTCTGTCCTTTCATTGTCATTGTTTTTGGGTTATAAAACATTTCTGTGTTGTCTGCAAAACTGTATTGAAGCTTGATCGACTTGTATGCTAGATTTATATGGATTACCTGAGTTCACAATCATTTATAACAACTATGTATAAAAAGTTTATGGGGATGGTTAGTACCTATATAAGATTTGGTTTTATTACATGCATTAGGTCACATATAATCTAATGATTAATGAAGGTAAATACGGAGAGCCGTATTTTCCATTGGCCAGGAATGTTGCCCTGGTTAATAAACTGAGGAAAACCAGAGTCGACGTTCGATCACACCTTCCGATGGCTCCGGCAATTTTTGTCGTGGATCTTCGCTATTGCCTTGCTTTTGGCTTCTCTGGACTTCGGGGATCTCTGGTGTTGCGTTAATTTCTCTCTGGATTTCGGCGATCTCTGATATTGCCTTAATCTATCGTCGAATATGATTGGGTTTCCAGTTGTATGCAGATACTTGTTGCTTTTCTGGACGATCGCTTTTCCAACATTGGGCTCTGCGAACGTCATCTGCTTTGGCTGTTGGACCTCGTGTATGGCACGGCACCGGCGATTCAATTAGAAAGATCGGTGAAAAATAATTCTCCGGCGCTATCTAGATAGTTTGGGTGATGTTTTGATGTTCTCGGGCATGTACTGCTCTTCCCCGAGTGGTTACGGAGCTTTTTCAGGCCTTACGGGTGACTTTTTTTTATGTAGATTGGAAACATGGGTAAAATTTTTAATTTGTCTCGGACAATAGTAGTGAGGAATTATCTGGTATTAGCATACAGGGAAGGTAATAAAAATGCTGCTTATTTAAAATAAAAGATTTTTCTAAAAAAAGTTATGTTTCCGATTATACAGGGTGTTTCTAAAATAGGGTTTCAAACCTCTGCTGCGTTTATAACTCATTAAAATATGCCAAAAAGTTCCTATTAACATGTGTCCTAAAACGCACCTTTAGGAAGTTATATGCCCTTAAAAGGGCTCAAAACAAATCTGGTTTTTTTCCGTTATTGACAAAACGCTCGCAAATAAATAGAAAAAAATATACAATCTTACATAACTTTTTACGTTAAATAACATATCATATGCGTCCCATTTAGGTTGGTGAAGGGGGTTTTCGGCCCGTAATTTTTTTATTTCAATTTTTTTACAATTTTCTCCATAGATTTATAAAATCTTAACAATTTTACGTAAAAAATATAATTGTCCAAGTCAATATTTCCAATGGTTTTCGAGTAAATTGAGTCTGAAAAGTAGTAGTAGTAATTAGTTCTTTAATTAGTAAGTGTAACTTTAAATTTAAATAGTTTTAGTTTATGTCCTAAATTATTTATTAAATGATCGGATTCCTCATAACTGCAATTTATTTGAAAAAAAAAAACAGATTTGTTTAAGCCCTTATAAGGGCATATAACTTCCTAAGGGCACATGTTAATAGGAACTTTTTGGCTTATTTTAATGAGTTATAAACGCAGCAGAAGTTTGGAACCCTATTTTAGAAACACCCTGTATACTATAAAATTAAACTGCTAAATTTTGTGTCAACTTTTTTGTATTATTACCAGATAATTTTGTTTAGCTTCTTGAATAGTCTGTATAGAAAAAATGAATGCGTAAAGAGGGAAGTTTTTCGCTTGTTATTGTTTTTTATTTTTATGTATAAACATTATTACAATAGTAGTATATTTTACAAGTTATAATACAATATTACAAAATACATATCAACAAAAATCGATTGAAGAGAGAAAATTTGGATAAAACAAATTAAAATCATCGATGGCACAAATACAATTTAATAAAACAGGCAAGAAAGGAAAACTCAATTGATAAAATACTCTCGGTTCTACCGTAACCACACACTAAATTATGCTAGATTTGTGTAAAATGTCTTAGTATCATAATCACTAATATAGCTATTAATAAATACCTAACTAAACTTAGTAACTTTTACAGTTTAAGTATCATCAGCCATTAATTATTTATATAAGTTACACTTTAGCTCGATATAAAATTACTTGCCTTTTCGTATTTACTTTAATGGACGGATTTTAGAGTCTTAAGATATTGTTAGAACGTTAAATATGATTTACGTTTAATATAATGAGTACAAATTTTAATTTACAGCTATGTTACAGAACAATTTGCGCGATTCCATGTTAATAAGGCGATCTAATGACCGAAAAATATGTTAAGTTTAATTTTTTTGCTCTATTCATCTGAATGGATGTTACCTTTTTTTTTCTAGCAATCCGAATGGTTTTAGTAATAAGACATATACTACTTACATTACCGTTTTGAACATTGCACACATTTAAAACACATTTTTTTTTTACTTAACCTCTAATTAACAAAATTTGATAGACAAAAATATTTCAAGTCGTATAGGAAAAGGAAAAGTTATTTTTCATCATATTTTGATGACAAAATGACGAATATTATAAAAAAAATACCACGAAAACCACTAGTAGACTATTTTAGTAATATTCGACAACTTTTTTAAACTTCTCATAGGGACGATGAATAAGTTTTCGCTGTTTTCCAAGAGATAATATTACCAGAATTGCATGCGTGTAGTTTAAGATCGTAACCCACCTATAAGTAAGGTTGAAATTCAGTGTTCCGCCGAAATGTAAACTACTTTTTCTTTTCAGTGTTAAACATGTCGAATTCGTGCCGAAAAAAGAGCATTTGCGGGAAATTTTACTGCACTACTCTATTCAAAAGAAATCTACAGCTGAAGCACACAGAATTCTTGTTGTGACTTATTACGACCATGCCGCAAACAACATGCAGAGATTGGTTTAGAAGTTTAAAAAATAATGATTTTGGTGTAAAAATAAAAAATACTATGGCGCACCAAAACAACTTGAAGATGAAGAATTGGAGGCATTACTACATGAAGACTCATGTCAGATGGTAGCTGATCTTGCAGAATCATTAGGAGTTGATAACACAACAGTTTCGAAACGTTTGAAAGCATTAAAGATGATTCAAAAGCAACGACATTGGGCGCCGCACCAGTTGAAGCCGAGAGACGCGAACGGCGTCTTTGCAAGTGTGAACAACTGCTTCAACGGCAGAAAAGGAAAGGTTTCTTGCATCGTATCGCGCCTGGACATGCGTCAACATCGTCGGCAAAGCCGGATATCCATGGTTCCAAGCTTCTGCTCTGCATTTGGTGGGATGAGCTGGGTGTAGTTTATTATGAGCTGCTCAAACCTAGTGAAACCATCACGGGAGATTTATATCGACTACAACTGATGCATTTGAGCGAGTATTGAAGGAAAAATGGTCGCTTATGGAAAACTTATTTGGAAATGTTTAAATGGAAAGTCCTACTCCATCCGCTATTTTCACCAGACATTGCTTCTTCTGATTATCACTTGTTCCTATCGATGGCACGTGGTTTGGTTGAGCAGAACTTCCATTCTTATGAAGATGTCAAAAAAGGATCGATTTTTGGATATCTTCAAGAGAAGAGTCATTTTTCCGACATAGAATTAAAATACTGCCAGAAAGATAAAAAAAAGCAGTAGCTAGCGATTAAATGTATTCAGCGGCCTATTTTTTTTATTAATTTTTATTAAAATAAAGCACTACTTTTCACGAAAAACCAGCGAGAACTTATTCAACGTCCCATTATTTTCTTGTAACTTGAGAGACGAGACAAATCATCACGTTTAAAATAAAACGATTCTTAATATGAACGGAACTGGAATAAAAATTTAGTATTCACACTGCATTCTGGTAGGCTTTAACTTTATGTAAATAAACTCTAAAATTTTACCAACAAGGCAATACTGTACAGGGGAACAATTTTGTAAGGGAAATCATTTTCGGCAGTGAGCAAGAACACATTTATATGCAAACGGTGTACCATAATTAGTATTCATCACCGGAAATGAGAAATATATTTTCTAAATGAAGATCATTAGGTCTGTATTATAGTCCATGGCCAAAATTTTCAATATAAAATATACGTAATTGATTATAATATGTAAAAATGAAGTACCCACATAATAATTTTTGGTTTTCTCAGACCAACACGAACTAAAGTCTGTTTAAAGGCAATAATATTTCTTTCTCGCAATACATGATAAAATAAAAACGAAAAATCGAAAAAATATTAGAAGCGTAACAAATAAAACAAAATGTATATAAAGTATGTCACAAAGCACTGTTTTAGAGCATAGAGGAAATATTGCAACAAAATCTCAATTTAGTGTAAAATAGCCAGAACATCTCTAAATATATTTAAATAAAAATATTCCCCGTTAGATGTCATTTGGCAGAAAACTGGTTCACTACTGTTATTAATTTGTTTTGTTTAAAGCTTAAGTCATTTAAATCGTACAAAATCAGTAAAAGCATACAATCCTACACCCAACCTAAGGACAAGTATTTTCAGAGGACACAACCGTCTACAGTGATACTAGTTAGTGATTTCTCGAAGCCGTTTAGATTTAGTATTTCCTAATCAGTCGCGGTGCCATTCAACACGTGAGTAAAACCCTCGAAACTGACGGCCAATTTGAGCCGTGCGTTAATTTTCATAACTCCCAACGCGGATTGTTGCGCTAAATCTACGAAGCTCGTCTCTATTTCGGTTATTTGTTAATACTTAGACGTAGCTCGTATTTTCCAATCCTGTCGAAATTCGCCAACCCTGTCGTTAAACGCTGGCGTTTTTGAACTTAAGCAGCGACATTTTGGGCGGACGTCAGTCGAGTTGGCTCTGCATCAGCGTGTGGATCTCCCTTAAGGAGGATCCCAAGCCGCCGGGCAGCGATTGTTTTTTCACGATGAGCGATCTGATTTTGTTGAGGAATTCGTAGCATTTCACGCACTTCTGGTAGCGTTCTTCCCGGGGGATGTCGACCCCGAAGCTGCCGACGGGACATTGGATGTTGTTCCGGATCACGGAACCGAAGAGCTTGAGGATCAACTTCAGCGTGTCGCACGCCGATGTCATGTACCTGGAACAAAGAGGAATGTGCGAAATATTAAAATGTTTTCGACGTTAGCAATACAGTGTTCAGTTAGGGCTTGAAATATTATAATCTTTGTAGCACATAGAGAGCGTTCCGGATTAGCCACGCCTCATCTGGTGATAGAACTGTTCAAAATACGAAAAAAGTTCTAATAAACATGGATCAGGAAATGTTTAGTTTCCAAGATACAGTGTGTTCAATTTTAAGAAAAAAAAAATCATGCAAATAGTTCTGAAGTTGTTCGATGTAGACCGATGAAACTTGAGCTAATAATTTACCTAACTGAAGGAAACAATTTAATGAACTTCGGCGCTACTGACTTTTCAGTTTTGTAAATCGAGTAAGCGCAATTATTTCCTTAGGTATATGGTTTCTAATAAAAAAAGAGAAAAATTTTATTCAAAAAACAAACGTTTATTATCTATTTCTTAAATCAAAATAAGGTTATTTATACAGGGTGATTCATTAATAATGGGGCAGAGCTTAAGGGCATGTTGCTGACTTCAAAATAGAGCGATTAAGCCAAATATGCCTTATCCGAATGTTGCTCCTTTTCGATCTACAGGGTGTTAAAGTTGAAAAAATATTTTCGATTTTTTTAAATATCTTGAGCATCTTTGAACGGATTGTCTTGAAAGTTTGTACACCTATGTTTTCTGAGGTGGAAATTACGGAAATGGTAATTATTTTGCAATCGCATTTAGGATGCGCTAGTTGTAGTGTTCCGTGGGAGTAAACATATGTCACACTTTTTTGTCCTTAAAAAATCTGAATTTCTAATAAGAAATTATTAAACTACGTTCAATTCTAAATAAAAAAGATATACCTGTTAAAAATCGATAAACTTAACCGTTTTCGAAATAAGAACTATTTACTATTTCTTTACAAAATTATTTGTTTGAACGTACGCATTTAAATAAGATGACTTAATTACGAATTAAGACAAACACAGTAACAACTGAAAATTTTATTATGCTTAAGTCTAATTACAAAAGATTCTCAAAGTGGCGACCATTGTTTTCAATACATTTTTTTATTCTCTCGTTAAAATTTTGTCTGACACTGAATAGACTTCTTTGTTGGTCTCTGATAATGTTAACAGATTCTTGTATTTTTGCCCACAGCTCTTCTCGAGTATGTATAACATCTTTATAAACTAAAGATTTAACGTTACCCCAGAAATAAAAATCTAGGGGATTTAAATCAGGGCTACGCGCAGGCCAAGGCACTTCGCTGCCGCGACCAATCCAACGGTTTCGAAAACTTATATCAAGATATTCTCTTACTGGTCGGGAGTAATGTGCGGGAGCACCATCATGCATAAACCAAAAGGTTTGCCGTAAATTTAAGGGGATATTTTCAAGAACGAGTGGCAAGTCATTTGTTAAAAAATTTAAATAATTTTCCCCATTAAGTGGACGGGGTAACACAAATGGTCCCAAAATGTTATCGGAAAGTATTCCACACCAAATATTTATTGAGAATTCATGCTGAAAATGTTGTTCTCGTGGCAAGTGAGGATTTTCCAGTTCCCAGGAATGGCTATTTCTCCAATTAAATACACCGCGCCGGGTAAATGTAGCTTCGTCCGTAAACAATATTTTATTATAAAATGTAGGGTCAGCATTTTGTTGCCGACGAAGAAACTGTGCGAACCGAAATCTACCAGGAGGATCTTGTGGCATCAACTGTTGAACCGGACGAAAATGGTAAGGATACAATTTTTCTTTGTGGAGTATTCTGAAGACGGAAGGCTGACTTACACCAGTAGCTGATGAAATTCGGCGTGTGCTTGTTTGCGTGTTTTCGGCAATTCGCACTAAAACATCCTCTTCTTGCTCCGCCGCTAATACTTTAGGCCTTCCAACGTCTCGTTTAGGGCGAAATGATCCCGTTTCTCCTAATCTGTCGTACAACGTCTTGAAAAGCTTGTGGTTAGGTTGTCTGTTATTTGGATATAACTCCAAGTACCTCGCTGCTGCATGACGACCACAATAATTTTCTTGGGCATACACACATACCATGTTTCTCATTTCAACAAACGAATAATCATTATGACGCGGCATTTTAATGAAAAAAATCACAAACGAAGAAGAACTAAACTGTCTAGTATTTATAAGTTGCTTAGAATTGACATAAATAATACATGACATTTCATTGACAGCGGCCTACTTCATTTAAGTCATCTTATTTAAAGGCGTACGTTCAAACAAATAATTTTGTAAAGAAATAGTAAATCGTTCTTATTTCGAAAACGGTTAAGTTTATCGATTTTTAACAGGTATATCTTTTTTATTTAGAATTGAACGTAGTTTAATAATTTCTTATTGGAAATTCAGATTTTTGAAGGACAAAAAAGTTTGACATATGTTTACTCCGACGGAACACTACAACCAGCGCATCCTAGATGTGATTGCAAAATAGTTACCATTTCCGTAATTGCCACCTCAGAAAACATAGGTGTACAAACTTTCAAGACAATCCGTTCAAAAATGCTCAAGATATTTTAAAAAATCGAAAATATTTTTTCAACTTTAACACCCTGTAGATCGAAAAGGAGAAACATTCGGATAAGGCATATTTGGCTTAATCGCCCTATTTTGAGGTCAGCAACATGCCCTTAAGCTCTGTCCCATTATTAATGAACCACCCTGTATAATCGAATAAATTAAAAATATTTCTAAAAATATTTATTTAAAAAAAATTATAAATAGAATTTTTTCTTTGTTCTAAGTAGAATTTTATACATAGTGACAATAACATCATTGCCGTAGAAATTTTTAATTATTACAAGAATGGCAAGAAACGCAGCTAGCAAAATAACTAAAACGTTAATGACTGTTGAATTTTTGATGATTACACCTTATTGAGAATTGTCTATCGTATTGCAATTTTCTTTTTTTAACAATTAGGTACTTTTAATCTTGTTAAATTTATTCAACAGTGTGCGTACGTAATTTTTTTTAATTAAAAAAATAATAGAAACAGCTCATTTTTTGAATACAGTAAATTGTTAGAAAAAAAAATTAATTTCAAAATAGCCAGTGGCGTTAAAATTTTGGGGTATTTATTAACATTAACTTCCAGTCTCTCCACTACTCGTTGATATATTTGTAAATCGATTCAATGGATCTTTACCTTTAATTGGAACACTTATTAGCACAAGCTTTATCTGTCTGGATCTGGAACATGTTCAGATATACAAATTTAAACAAATATTTCGTGAATATTTCTAATTTAGCCGTCAATTTTCCAAAAAAACAGAAATTACCCTTTTTCCCCGTTTTTTAAAATTCGTGTAAAAGATGAAAAAAAATTTTTTTCAAAAAGTTGCGGCAGCATGTTATAGGACGTTTATTACAGTTTTCGAAACTGCCCTTCAATTCTCTGTACGACCATTTGTCGCCGAGATATCGATGACTGAAGACAAAGGGGTCCTTTTCCATTAAAAGTCCGATATTTCGATGAAAAATGGCCGTAGCGTAATTTAAAAAAAAAAGGAAATTGAAGCTGAATAAACAAGCTATCTGGTCCGCGCAATGGCTTAGCTGAAAAAAATTTTTCCAAGTCCGCGCTGTTTCTTAGAATTGCATGATAACTGTAGCTCCTAAAAAATTTCGACTGAAAGATCTAAAAACTAGAATCTTAGAGCTTCAAAATGCTTTATTTTAATTCCCGATACGACCATTTTTTACCTAAATACAGTCTGTCAAAAATCACGGAAAAATTTCGGAAATTTTTTTGACCCTTTAATTTATTGCATTAGTTTATATGACACATATGTTATTTATTTTTGGAACAATGCATTAAAAAAAGACACTAATACAATGAAAACAAAAGATTATAGAAAATAATTTTTTTAGGAAAATATTGTCCCTCGTATTTATGGAACATTTTTCTGACATTTATTTGCTGTAAAATAAGAAGCTGTAAAGATGAGACTTCTGTTGTTGATATTTTTAGCATAATCGTACTTCAACTACATTTACATAGTAATAAGTGGATTACGAAAAATTGATTATATTGATTCAGTTTAATAGGAGTTTGTAGTGGCATATTTTTTAAAAACGATAAAACGATTAATAATGTGCAATGTCAGTTTTGTTCATATATCTTACTGGTTTCCACACCTTTTCCAGGTGTATTTTGGAAACCGTAAAATATATTTCAGGTTGATTATTTTTTTCCAGATGCATAATGATTTCAGATTTCTCTCACATATTTCATAAAGCGTCAATTGTTTCAGAATGATTATTAGTTTTAATAAAAAAAAAATGCATTTCGGAATATGTCATATATTATCTGTATTTCGATTTACTTTCGAATTCGTCCAAACATTTCAGGAACAAGTCAGATCGCGTTAGGTTGTCATTATTCCATTAGTTCAGTTCAGTTCCGTTCAGTTTTCTTGAAATTCATAAGAGATAAAATCAACTAATACCTATAAAATACAAATAACCCCTGCCGAAATTAAATTTACTAACACAAAATATACACGGAAACGGAACAGAACAATATTTCATGAAGGACTAAAAAAAGCATATTTCAAGGGTACGTTCGTGTTTTAGGTGAACTATTTATTAAGTAATGATCGATTTCCGCTCGTTTGACTGGCTGAAAGAGCAACAGCTGACACTTCCCGTGGCAAAGGATATGAAATATCGTTCCTAACAAATTGTTTCCAATGTGTTCGTGCAGGTCATCGCTAATTAGTTGGCAATTATTTACATGTTTGTTATAAGCCACCCCCTTTTTCACGGTCTGAAGAACTTGGATGTTAAATGGTTTTCCAACCGTACGCCGTTGGTAGTTGAAAAAAAAATAATAATAAGGGAATCGTGTTAGAGAATTATTTTTTTTAAGAAATTGTAGGTATAAGAAAGAAATTAGCGGTGCTCATTATAAAATTTGTCAATTCTTTTTTGCTGTGCGCTTTTTGCTTGCCTTACAATCTCTGCAATATGATTTCTAAATAAATCACACAG